AAATTTGCTTATAAAACAATTATCCGCTATGTAACTAATACTCTTAATTTAATTGTCTGTTTAACTACCTTTGCAAAATAAATTCAGCAAGCTCTTTCAAGGCATGTTGCTTCAAAAAAACCAACAGAAGAATTTTCTTTTATGGTAAATAAGGTCTTTTCTTCAGCATTTACAAATCCAGGGTTCACTCAGACTTTCAGCTTAAGACTCAGAATTTCTCTTTCGAATCTTCTGAGAGCAGATCAAACCCCAAAAGATGGATGTGGCCACCCCAGTTCTAGTAGCGATTATGACACCTCCATTCAGCACTGCCAGGGCCAGATCCCAGTTTGGAAACTGGTCCCTTTCTGCCTTTAGCACGCAGAGACCAGGCAAGCACAGCAGCGGTGACACTGCGAGCTGCACATATGAAAAGTGAGGTTTAATTCCAGATGTCTGATCCATCTCTCATTCCCTGGAGCAAGCAGAAATTACGCTTCATCTACCCACTTGCAGAGCAAGAAGAATCATTCAGCTGACAAGAAAAGACCCCTGGCTTGACAGAAGTGCTTCAGGAATCACGAAAATGCTGGGTGTGACCTGCAGCACAGCCATGGCAGCCAGACACCAACCCACACTTAATCAAACGTTCATGCCCTGCTACTGACGGTACCTGCAATTCAGCTCACAGAGCTCCCACATGCCTACAGGAGCTGCAACTTCCTTTTCAAAGTGAAAAAGTCAGTATGCTACTGGGGCTCCCAAACTACCTGTGCTAAGCTGTCCACAGGTAGCAACAGGCTTTGCCTCTGAGCTGCGGCACAACAGCACAGGAGCACAACTTCAGTCCTCCCCATGCTGCTCAACAAAAATAAAAAAAGCAAGAACTTAACTATTTATTTATTTATTAATACCAGTATTTTTGAATTGGTATTCTAAGATGGTCAATTACTGAAAGACAGTAGTTTTAGCATGCTCTCTCCAGTAGAATATGTACCATTACCTCTCTGTGGTCATTACTTACAGAGATCATTCTACCAGAGATTAAAGTGCCCATAGATTTATCTGTCTTTTTCTTGCCATCAGAGCCTTAGGAAAAACCCCAAAGGCTGCTGATACTTCACATTCTGCTTTGCAAAACTTGTTTTTGTTTGGGTTTTTTTGGGAGGAGGAAGATGCATCCACAGATATCCGTTCAAAAATTACATTTTTCCTATGTGTTTTTCATATTATTACAGTATCTAGCAATACTTCAGAAACACAAGTTTCAGCCACCAGTATTTACTACAAACATAATACAATCATTCCAAGAAACAGCTAAGCAAAAACTTCAATAGATGGCATGTTATGTTAAAATGTTGCCATTTTAATCTTCCCATGCATACTTTAAAAAATGGATACAAAATGAGAAACACATGTTACTTAGCAAGTCTGATTTCCTTTTTTTTTTTTTTAATAGGGTGACAGTTCTTTAAAAGTGTTTCAGAACCAAAGACACTGTAACACTAGGACATAAATTATGAGGCCACATACAGTATATATTACAGCAGATGATGAATACCTCAGGTTTTATCCCTCTGATTTTCCTGGTTTAAACCACAGTATGGTCCTACAACTATATTTCCTACGGTATTACAGGCTATACTCCTAAACCACAACATTTTGCTGTCAAATGAAATAGTTTGCCTCAACACTAATTCTTTTAAAACCAAATGCCTTAAACCGTAACATGAGATGACCAGCAATAACTGAAAGATTCTAGGACTTTATCACAGAACCTGCCTATCTTCTGAGCACTGAAATTTCTTTTTTCCATATAAGCTCAGGCCAGAATACAGACAGCAACTGAAGAAATCATTAAGCTCAAGCCCCTGAGTGAGAAAAAGTCAGACAATTTTGAATAATGTTTTTAATATATCCTTAACACAAGTCCTATTTGACTTTCAAAAACCTTTGCAGAAAGGAGATTGAAAAACCTCAGCTTGTTCCAGTTCTCCCTAAGGCATAACAGATTTTAAGAACATCATCACGTCTTTGGTGCAAACTAGTTTAATCTTTTTCGATGCAGTCACAGACCACTTCTCAGTAATTTTAAGACTGTAGTATCTTCTTGTCCCCTGATCTCTTTCTGCTGGAACCGAGCTTGTCTAGCCTTTGCAGAACACATTTGCCAATCACATGCAGTCTCTGTAGACGACACTTGCCAAACCCTTCCTAAGCCTTGATGACCATTTTCGGTGGATTGAGACATTTGCATTTGTCCTTCTTAATGGGCTGTGGCCAAAACTGAACACATTATTCTGTTAAGTTTCATTAGTACAAGACAAAAATTTAAATTACAAACTTCAACAGTACTGCACCCCCATGCTTACTGAGATCTCTGATAACCCTCAGACGTGCTTCCATGGTGCTGCTGCCAGGTTGACTAACTATCTGATTATGGGATCTTCTTCCTGAAAATAGTATCTTGCACTCAAATACAGCCTTTGAACTTATCAAAAACCTCTTGTCTTCCAAAGCAGACCATCAAAAATACATCCTGAAACACCTACTTGTCTTCTTCAGATTTTGTGCTAATTCTGTTGATCAAAGACATCAATGACAACAAGTACAAAGGTGCCAGAACTCCCCCAGCGCCACTTAAACTGACTTTGATGGTGACTCATAATCATTCCCCGAGAATTATCACCCAGACTTGCTATCTCTAGATCTGGTCCCTTTGGTTCAGCTGTTCTCAAACGCTTCAGATGAACACTTTCCATAAGAGCGGCCCTACTGGGTCAGAGGCAGGTTTGTTGTCTGCACGAGGTCAATGCCTGAAATTAATATAAAAACTTGATAAATAATTGACAGTACTTCCCCAGTTTATTCTCCCGGGCTCTGTGTTCAGCTCAGTGACACCCTGAGCTACTGGAGGTACTTGGCACAAGTAATCCTTAGTGGATTTTTCTTCCATTAATTTGTCCGGCTGCTTTTCAAGTCCCTGTAAACTTTCAATATCCACACACTTCTGAAAGAATCTCCAAAGCTTAACTAACTACACATTGGGTCAAAACCATACCCCCTTTGTTCATCTTGAACCTGCCAGATTAATCTCATGCTTCCACACTGTGTACTGATAAAAAGTTAGTCCCCACTCAACTTTGCCACATCACTCATGAGACTGTCAAAATTTAAAAAAACCTCAAAGCTTTCCTCAGAGCAGCGTTATCAAGTACCACAAAAATAGGAAGACTAGATTGGGTCACAAAGCCTTCTCCACCCTGGCAGATTAGGCACAAGGAAGCACTACTTCACCTTGCTTATGAGAACATTATTATTAACGAGTCAAAATACTGACCCATTATCAAAACAAAGGCACACGGCAATGCCGGAGGCTGAAGGACACAGTATTTAGTGCAGATTATACAGGAATGCCCACTCTGACTAGAAACTTGGGGGTGGCGAAATTAGTTCAACTTACTTACAACTTCTGCAAGCTAATACTGACATGGTTTTGATTCAGAAAGCTATTAAGCCCCACAAGAAAGTTTACTAGCTTTATATTCACACTGCTGGCTTTATAGTTTCACAGTCAAAGGCATAACTGTACCGTCACTAAGTAGTTTATTAACTTAGACACATTAAAAACACATACACTAAAATGCAGTCAAGTTAAATCTTAATTTCTTTCTACATTATTAAAAACATTGCACAGGTTTGTAACTTGTACTCTGACAATGTCCATATTTACTCTCCTACCTCAAGAATACTAAGATCTTTCTTTTGCAGTTATTTTATAAATTGTACACTTCATAATTATCTTGTAGGTTAGCACAGTTTAATTATATTTAAACAAATACTGCAAGACATTTGCTTATATATTTAAATTTTCATAATGATCATTTTAATCATTAAATTACTTCCATTTTATTAGGGTTTTTTCACTAAAAAATAAAACTAAAAACTGCAGATGACATTTAACTCACGAGTTCATCTCCACCCTGTTAATCTGTCATACTTGCAACAGAAGAGACAGTCCCGTGGCCAACCTTTGTACTCGGATGGCTGTGAACCCAATCCATAGGCCACTCTGCAGCCTGGCGATGCCAAATGAACTGTAAGAAATTAGGTCGCCTCAAAGGTCTGTTCCCCTCCCGGAGACGAAGAGGGGACACAAGTCTCGACATACAACTTCTCTTCATCTTTGTAAAAATAGGGCCAACAGTCAGCAACATTCGGATGAAGCAATAGGTAGCAACCATCCTTTTACAGAACCTCTCATCTATTAGTTTAGCTATTGCCGTCTTACAGGCCTTTGGTGGCATTTACTAGTTCAGAACCTGAGGACCAAGCATCAAGCAAGCATCAACAATATATGTGCTGTACTGCAAGTTCTATCCAAGACCATTAAGAGGACGAACCTTTTTAAGTTCTCCTAGTCAGTAATGAACACGAGTTACAGGAACTGGGTATCGGTTTTTGGTCGTACAAGGCGCTGATACACACTGCTCTACAAAACCGCAGCCTGCAAAAGTACTTCATGGAGAAATACTCTAAGAGAAGATGTTTTTCCATTGCACTACCAGTCACGCTGAGTTCGGCCAGTAAGGGCTGTAAAAATTTTATTTGCTGTGACAGCATAGAAATGTTCCTGAAGCAAGGAGGGGAGCTCAGTTGTAACTCTGTAGGGATGAGATTTCATAGAGGATGATACTAAAAAGGAAAAAACCAAACCCAAAGAGGAAAAAAATTCCCATATCAGTGGATTTAAGGAAGTAAAGAACAGTCCAGAGGGATTTTAACTGCACCTCGCCGGGAAGCTCCGGGTGTAGCAGGTCCGTCCCGCGGTGCGCTGGCGGGAGCGCTCATCCCGCCGAGGGCCCTTTCCGGCCCTTCCCCGCCCCGATCGCACCTGCCCGGCGGGAAGGGCGGCGGGGGGAGCCGGGGGGCAGCGCCGCGGCCGGGCCGGTGGGCCGGCGCCTCCCCTGGGCGTCAGGAGGGCGCGGAGGGCGGCGGGGGCCGAGGAGCCGCGTCCTTACCTGCTGCCGGTGCTCCTGGCGGTAGTGCTGCGCTCGCCGCCCCGCCCGCTGCCAGCCCTGCTACTGCTGCTACTGTCGCCGCGGCTGCTGCGCTGCTCTGCACCGCCCCCGCCGCTCGGCCCGGCCCGGCCCGGCCCGGCCCGGCACGTCACCGCCACAGGGGCTGGCCGGGGGCGGGGGCAGCGCCGGCCGGGGCGGGGGCAGCCGGAGAGGCCGGCCCGGCCTTCTCTGCTGTCCGGGGCCGTGTGACAGGAGCCCTGGCCCGCTGTCCGCCCGGCCGCCCCGGCACTGCCGCGGCCGCCCCTCTGTGCGGGGGACACAGCACCCCGCAGCCCTGGTGGTGCTGAGGGGCTGGCTCGGGGGCGCGCCTGGCTTGTGGCTGGGCCGCGATTATTCTGGGAGAAGTTGAGTTTCTTTCTTTATTTTTACCAACGCGGTTACAAAAAGGGGCAGTTCTGGGTTGTCTTTGTCTTTATTGACCATCGCCCCATAAAGAAAGGTACAGAGCGGGTGGTGGCTCTCCCGCTGCGCAAGCTTCGGCAGTCAGAGGCTGTTTCAGCCCGGTTCCTCCACCAGGCTCCCCCTGGCCCTGTGCAGTCCCTGCCCTGCCCCCAGGGTCTTGCCCTGACAGATGTTACACGGGTGGGAGCAGTGACGGTCACACCCGCTGCTCAGTGGCACAACAGCATCGCTTGCCCCCGCCCTGTCCCCGCTGTGGTTCCTGCGAGGCGACACAGGTGCCAGCCTGCCTTCCCACCGGACTCCATGGTGGCTCTGCGGGATTTCCCTGGCATCTGCCTACACCCAGCTATTCATCCTGGTGGCTGGTGGTGTGAGAGTGGCCCAACTGGACGGCATTGCATCATGCTCAGCCCTGGCGTCACCACTGAGGGCACCCACAGCCGCCTCTCCCTGACCAGCCGTGCTGCAGCTCTGCGTCGCCTCCCTGTCCCTTGGCTTTACAACGACTCATTCCTAGCGTCGCTAGCTGGTTTGTCAGCTTTCCTATAAACACTTTGCTTCTCTCCACGCAATACTTCACGAGTGGCACAATGACTTGACAATATGTGCAAAGCCTCCTTGTTCTCCACTTGACGATTCTTATATATTTTGCTGACAACGGGAAACAAACGAGTTCATACTTCAAAATTTCCTGTTTTCCCTAATTTTCCAGCCCTAGCTTTCTTTAGGCAGGGTATGCTTCACTGCATCCTTTTTGAGTGTTTGGACAACACCAGGGACAATTGTGAATACAGCCTCTAGCTAATAAATAATTTAAACGAATTTCTTCCAGCCATATCTACCCCTGAAGATGTGATACTTACCACGATGCCTTGGCCTCTTTTAGGGGACAAAGAAAACTCAGGGAGAACCTAGAGAAACTCAGGGGTTCCTGTCATACACATGGAAGGAAAATGGCAGTACGCAAAGTGCATGAGTAATCCTACATCCTGGGCAGAGCATGGGTGGAGTTAAATCCTGTATCCAGATTAACATTCCTATGACTCCCGAAATGTGCTATGAGCTTGTTTTGGTTTTTAAAACATTCCACGTGCCTGCAAAGCAGCAAGGTGAATTTGACAGTTGCATCTTCACTTGACGTAATTTAGGAATGTTTAACAATTTGGACAAATCAAAATATTGTATAACTTCTAGAACATGGGAGCTTGTCTCTGGCATTACCTTTCAGGGCAGTACCTGGTATGGTTAGCCTTACTTTTATTTGTAAAAGACAGATAAGGATAATTGTTATCTGTGGGAAAAAAAGTGAATGGGCACATAATTGAAAATACAAATTTGCTGACTGGATATAACCCCCTCTGTTAGCAAAACAGGATATAATGTCAGGAGACGGTCAAGAAAATACTTCCAGTGTAAACAAGCCAATCAGTTCTCCAGTACCGTGGAAGCCAAGCAGTGCTGAGCACTATCTCACCATCTGATGTGATCTCCCTCATCAGAAGGAGCCCATCTCTATTCTCTCCTTTTTTTTTTTCCTGGGAAATTTAAAAATAACCCAGGACACAACAGCATCTGTTCTGTAAATCTTCTGGGAAAATACAGGAAAACTCACAAGTGAAATCTGAGTGCAAGAACTTCAAACTACGCAAAGAGTGTGTGTGGGGGGGAAGCAGAAAGAGAAAACAAGGTAAAACATGTTTTACTGTACTTGCCTGTATGTAAGGAGGCAGGCAAGAAGCATTTTGAGTTTGATTCCTAGGAAAATTGGGCAACCCTTTGTCATTTCAGTCTAACCAAGGCTTTCCAGAACACCAGGAACAGTGCAGATGGGTTGGAGCTTCTGCCCAGTTTTTGCTTAATAGCTGTATAAGGAGAAGATGCAGTTTGAGGCTAGGAGGGAGAGCAGAGTGCCTTCAGCATCATCTCCCCGTTCCTCCCACACCTCAATGTGTCAAGCGGGGGCAAAGAGCAGTGGAGGAGCATCCATTCACAAGCTGCAAGGCACAGATATGGTCTGTCAGCACAGCTGGCGCTCAGGGGCAGGCTCAGACTGTACGCATCAGAACAGGAGGCTCTGTTGTGAGGAATGAGAGCTCTATTAGCATCGTCTTAAATGTGTAAGCACTATATTCTGGATGGCCTACCAGAAATCCCATGAGTATACCAAAGGCAGAAAGATCACCAATACAAGGGCAGCACAACATTTTAACAGGACTAGTAACATGCACATGCGCTTCTGCTGTAGCCCGGCTGCAGAGAACTGACAGTATTCCAGATATCCAAGGTGTCTGTGTTCAGTCATTTATTAAAATTGAATATTTTGATATGAATCCAGGTTGTTAGGGATTATAGCAAACAGCTTCTATCATTAAAGTTGCCATATATTTTTTAAAAATATATTTTAATTGTATGAGCCACTGTATTTTGTCAGACTTAGTTTTGCAAGGATGAGCAGCTAAAGGACCCCAGGTGACTTCTCAGAAAACCCTGAGAAGATATCATGTATGTTTTAATTTCAAAGAATATCATATAATGTCTTGGATATTTAAATTTCAGTGAACTTAAATTCTTATGTATAATTCAGTGGATCAAAATTCAGACCATTCAGTATAAGTAAAAAAAGGTAAAGGTCTTTACACTTGCGTGACTAGAAATTTCACTCCTGAGATGGTTGTTCTCAAGTGCTTAGTATCATGAGTGTTAAGTTTCTCTTCCTACACTTTATTATGAAAAATTAAATGCAAAAATCAGGTTTGACATTGACTACAAGCCTTTGCTGAATGCACCTCTCCACACGGAAAGCTTATTGTGTTTGAATCATGTTGGTATTAGCTACAGCAGTTTTACACAGCCCATGTAATGGGTAAAGTTCTGCCTGTAAGAACGTCCATGGGCACTAAATACACAGCCAATGAGTTAATGAGGCCAGAAGTTCATTTACTTTACATGCTTTGTTGACATACTCAAGTGTATATGAATGCGATGTAATTACACTGTATCCGTGTAATGTGGTCATGTTAAATACTTCATGGCTTGACAGCATCAACTCTTGGAGTTTCCTAACTGTATTTTAGTTTAGCACTTCGATACTTCCTAAAATGATTTTATATTTTTGCAAATAAATTTCTGAAAAAAAACTAAACCTAAATTTACTGGTGTTAGAACTGTTTTAGAATTACCCATGCAGAGTTTGCAAATGTGGCTATTGTAGCTGCCAGCACAATTTATCTGTTATTTCTCTGGATAAAGAATAGCTTGCTCATATGTTCGCAAAAGAACATTTCTAACTGGCTCAAGGTTTAGCAGCTTATGTTTAGAGACAGAAAAAGAACAAGAAAATTTGCCGGGATTTTAGCAGTGGTAGATGACGTTCCTTTCAGGATCAACCTTTGGTTTCTTTCTGAGCAGGCTTACTCTAGATAAGCACCATTCATTTCCTTATCATGTAAATTATTTACTGGAAAATTGGTGTGTAAGTCTCACTTTATCTGCTTCCTTTCACTTAGTGTTATGTGCACATACACAATTCTCTGATTTTGACAGTAGTGAAATGATCCTTTTTTTCCTCTCTTTCCAGTACAGTTTACATGAACACCTACTTTGACTAAACCTAATTTTTTTAATATTCCAACTTTTCCACAGGCCTTCTGTATTTTAAGAGCTTCATACAAGTTGCAAAAAAAAAAAATTAGACATTATGTTTTAAGGTAAAAGCTAATTTTTAAAGTCTTCCTGTTTCATTTCAGTTGGTGAGTAGTTTCTTCTTTGACCACTTGTTAGTTAAGGAAGGTTGATGGTTTTGCATTTTCAGCCCTACCAATGTTTGACTGTTTCTGAAGCTCTGTTTTTTTTGACTGGGATTAAGTCTCTTGCACTGGCCCTGTTTTTCAATTTCCTCTCCTTAAGGATAATTCAATTAAGCAAATAGATTATTTTGAGTTGTGGGTAGCTCCAGAGAACTAAGCTTGCATAAAAAATAGCATGAAAGGAGGTAAGGGGAATCCCTGACTTGTGAACTCGTAATCCTTCTGACTGAAGTCCATTGCTTTTTGCTTTACTTTTGTGAGCAGATTCATTCCATAAACACAAATGGTGAGGACGGGAAAATGAGATTACATTACCCCAGGGTAGCTGGAAGATATTCCTGGAGTCATCCCAGTATTTGAAGACAGATGGATTCCATTCCTGGTACAACACGCCCCATGTCTCTGGGGAAAGACTTTTCTTCTGTTTCTGCTGCAGCTTCTCTCTGACAAAGATATCATGGGCCCACTCACACATATTTAAAAGTAGAATGGGCCTCAGTGGTTTAGATATTTCATCTGGAGAGGGAGGAGGTCTAGTGTAGGAATGAGAACCCAGTAAAAGCCACACAGATAACACACAATTGTAATTACCATAGAGCTGCGTTTTTAAAATTTTTGCTTCTTGCTCCCATTCCCCCTCAATGCACTCTGTGGTCACCTATATGGATTTCCTTTTTGGTGATGAACAGCAGTTGCCAGTAAAATAACCACAGGCTCATCTGAAAAACAGAAATAGCCTGCAGTAGGCTATAGGTAACCTGTAGATGTCAGGCATAGGGCTGTCCTTCCTTCATGGAGCAGAGGCTACTCACTGGCAATT